AGAAGACCACTGGGGTCCCTGATTCAAGCAGTCAGAATCCTCAAATCAACCCCACAGGATTTCTTCTGAATGACCAGTGAAACGCAAAGTAGAGGAAAGAGCATTTCAAACTGAAAACAGGAATCACTTCTTTATGCTATGTTTATACCAATAGCCTGTTGTCTTTCAAGAAACAGCTGGATGAGATCACGTGCTGACTTGCCTCCTCCCTTTCGAAAACTTTCATCTGTACATTAAGGGGGGCATACAGAGACAGTGGTTGGAATACAAGTGTTTTAAATTAGGAGGTAGGAGTGCCTCCAAGACCGTTCCACAGCTGTCAGCTGTGTTTTATGCAAGCAGATTGCCTGAGTCACCCTGCCAGAAGAAGGGATTTGTCCAAATACCCACTTTTAGGTTTTAGACCATCAGACCTCATTTAGAGCAGGAACATCGCCCAGTCTCATCAGCCCGATGTGATGAGCAGGACCTTTCCCTCGGTCTTCAGTGACATGCAACTCCAGTGTCGGCTGCAAGCTGCGGCGACAGACCAGGCCGTCAAGCAGGGCTGTCTCCAGGGTCTGCAAGCGCAGCAGCACAACGGCCGAGAGAACTCCAGCCAGCTTGATTCTGGTTCTTTTCCATCTGTACAAGCAAGATCGGCACTCCGATTCCAAACCATGCATAACTACTCCCATGTGAGGATGTGAACTCTAAACCCTTCACCAACTGGGGCGGAGTGGTGGCTCTGTGGCTAAGGATCTTCCTGTGGCTGGAAGGTTGCGGGTTCAAATCCCGCAGCCGGCAGAGGAATCCTACTCCGTTGGGCCCCTGAGCAAGGCCCTTAACCCCAGCTGCTCCAGGGCCGCTGTGCAATGGCTGACCCTGCGCTCTGACCCCATGCTCTCTCCCTGTCTGTGTGTCTCATGGAGAGCAAGCTGGGTCATGCGAAAAGACAAATTCCTAATGCAAGAAATTGTAATGGGTTAATAAAGTGATGTGATGTTATTAACTATAAATGACATAATTCATTCCCACTGCAGCACTTCAGAAAGGTTAGAGGCTATGCGCCCTCTAGTGGCAGGCCAGCTGTAATTACGTCCCTTTCCTGCGCTATCCTGCCACAGCTGCCGAACTGCTATTTAGCACTGCACCTCGTGTGTATGTGTGTGTGTAAAAGCTGAACGGATCCTTTGTGGGCGTCTGGCTTGACTCCACAGCCCTCTTAACATGACCACTGTGCCAGCATGTAACTTATCAGACATTACAGTCCTGATCCTGTTCATTTGGTTATGTAAGACAATGTGAGTGTGTGTGCTTGTGGAATACACCTCAATACTGCATACCAGTATGTGTTTATAAGGTACACTATTGTTCTGTGATACTTGTACATAAGTGTCTCTATTCTGCATGTACATGATTTTATAGCAGCAGTATATCTCTAAATATACCTCTGATATATGATTGTCTATCCTTACCAAAATGTGTATTAGTATCTATGCACAGTACCTTCATACAGTAGTGCCTGTACTTGCCACAGTTACAGAACTGCGTATTCAGCACACCGTAGTTGTAGTATACATAGAGGCAACCGAGAGGTTATATTTTTTCTCTACTGTTTTGAACATGGTAAAGATGGTATCATGGTTAATTATCACCCCCTCACTAGGAATGAAAGAGCTGTGAGAGCTCTCCAATGGAACACACCATAAAATAAAAAAGTAGCCCTGGCTACACACTTTTTTAATATTGATATATAACGGTGTGACTATACAAATAATTCAGATATACTGTAGCTGTAGCTGTTTTGTATAATACAGTATGTTTGGTGAGTGAGGAGTTAAGTCTGCTGCCAAACTGCTGTTGCAGTGATAATCTCTTGGGATTACAGCACAGCAACATCTGGATTTAAC